ATTGTTAACTTTCTCAAATATGTGTTTGAGACATTTGATAACTTATTTACTTTATATTTTCAAACGATAAACTATCATATTGAGTTATTGCTAATTCTGCTAAGGACGAACTTCAAGCTTGGAGATGCAAGTTTGGTTGCCATAGCTGCCATTAACGGCAAAGTTCTACTGGAATGGTCGTGTAATGACAAATGGAGAAGTAGCTTATCACCGCTCTTGACAATGATGTTAATTTAAACTACTCCATATTTCCAGAATGTGACTACTTCACATACAACACACGCTTATGTAGGAAAAACAAAAGAGAGAGATGACCATTCAAAAGAACAATAGAGGGATGATAATGAGGAAAAATAGTTCAACGAGACATGATATCCATATCAACCCACACACTTCGTCGGAATGGCAATCGTTTACTCATCATCTTTATTTGAAAATGAATCAGTCTGGCCCTTAAAACTTCACCAGAAGGCTCTGACTGATGCATTTTATTCATTATTATTGATGCATAAAACATTGAGAGTCACTTAGGAGAAAATGTTTTTAGATACCAACTGATTTTCCGTCAACATCATGTTGTATCGATCATCTAAGGTGAGTAGTTAAAAGTTTTACTGCAGAGACACTCCAATGAAAGCTTAAAGGTTTCTCATACATCGAACATCATGATGGACTTCTGATATTGAATTCAATATCCCAGGTAGATCGCTCATCTTATGTGCCATTCAAATCCAAAATATAAGGTCTAAAATCTTCTTCGTCATAAAGCTAAGTTGGAACATTGGTCACATCTCAACATCACCCTCGAACAAATTTTCTTTTCCGATCACGATTATCTATCGATATTTTCCGTCTTATTTCACAAGTGTTGAAAAGAGAATATAAGAATCTGTAGACTGTGCGCCACTCTACAAAAACTCGATATACGGTGTGTTTTCACTCTGAGCTCAATCCAAATTTCGAAAGTCCAAATATTATGTTGCTAACACATTCCCGAAACTCTTATTTTGTCAGTATTTCGATCAAACGTTTTTGCTTTTACTGACTTTCAGAAAACTGATAGTGTTACTGTGTAATCCATTCAATTCTGCACCGAGTCCAGCATAAAAACGTTCTTTTAAAATGTTCGCCAGCTAAGGCCGTCAATGTCAGAAGTTAACCTTTATCATCGTATTTTTGAGATATATATATATATATATATATATATATATATATGAGAGATCATCATATTGTATTTAAATCGAAGCTACAATTTATCACTAGCATTGTGACCTGCTGCCAAAATGCACTGTATAAATAAGACAAGTCAGAGTAGATCAAGATTGCAAGGTGTCAACAGATAGTGTTCTGTGGAAATCAACTGAACACTACTTGGAAGATGAGGAATAGTTTTCGGCTTTGCTGAAAAAGCGCAGCTATTTCAGGTCCATGCACACGATGGTACTCCTTGTCAGAATCTATCTCACTTTCAACAGTCTACACCATCATGTGTAGAGAATACATCTTATTCCGCGATGTTGAATATTCCGGAATCAGTTCCATTCAATTCCGGGAACTCGATCATGATTCTGTCGAACAGGCTTAATCGATATTGATCGAGTTCTGTCGATTTCCGTCATTCCGAGAATTGAGTGAATACGGAGTTATAGGGGATTCCCAGGAATTCCTTCTGATCCCGAAACTCTGGGAATTGCTTCCAATTCCGGAATTACTCGGAATTCCCAGGAATTCCGTGTAATTCCATCTTCACTCAATTCCGGGAATTCCGTACCGAAATTCCTTCTTGCCCTCACGCTCACTGAGAGTGTTGTGTTTGAATGTTAGTCACTGGGATAAGTTAGTAATTCCGGTACGGAATTTCGGGAATTCAGTGAAGACGGAATTACACGGAATTCCTAGAAATTCCGGAATTGGAAGGAGTTTCTGGGAAATGGGAGTAATTCCGTCGGGAATCAGTTTCCGCCATTCCCGGAGTTGGCGGAACTCGATCGGTGTCGAGTAGGTCTATTATGCCGAATGATGATCGAGTTCCCGGAATTAGATGGAACTGATTCCGGGAGTGGAGCTGATTCTGCAATGTTCAACATTGAGGAATAGGATGACTGTTCCATGTGTAACGGCTGTTACAATGAATGCGACTAGATATAGTTTCTTTCTCGGAATTTCTGTAGAATTTTCTTCTCAATCACACAGTGCACTTTCGAAGTGACATAGTCTTTTAAAAATGCACTCTTTACTAGATCGCATGGTATACTCTGACACAGTTGGCATTTCTTCTTAGCATCCTTCAAAACCCTCGATGTACAATTATTTAGTGCAGGAATCAATCAATCACTTTGAAAATTACACTTACTAAGGTTATTGTTCATCAGAAGTAGTTGTCACAGAAATTTGGATTTACTCCTAAGATAGCTCTTAGTTGACTGTGCATTCCTTATAAAATTCAGCTATTCCGATTGTCATTTTCGAATTTTGAGAGTTTTCTTCCTGAAACAGCCCGATTTTTATGTTTTAAAGTGTGTACACTTGAAATTGCTTATTATATTCTCTTGTTTCTATTTTTGTTTGAGTTATTTTGCGGCACATTTATCGATCAAGCAGAAAATTGCACTACAGAATGGACTTTTTAAATTCTAAACATGCCTAGAAAACGATTCGAAACAGCAAATTTTCCACAAAGCAATAATGTTTCGGCCATATGCTTAGTAAATCTCGCTTTTCTCCGCCACATCGACATCAACTCTAATTTCCAAATATGATATTATAAAGTGCATCCGAAATCACACGAAGCTTCCTCGAAGTCAGTAAAAGTTAAAACGTGTTTTTAAAACACTGGCAAATTAGGAGTTTCGAGAACATGTGCGAAACATAGTATTTCGATTTTCAAAATTTAGATTGATCTCTGATTAAAAATTCATATATGAGTGAATGGTGCTCGTATTGTATTGTTGCGTTACGAACACTAAAATATTTGTATGTAGGCTTCTACTTAACTAATTTTGATAATTTTTTTAAAAAGTGCTTCGTATTGTCTATTCCACGCACCGTTAAAGTATCAAGTCCTTTAGTTGCTGTTTCTATGTAGTTTTTAAACAAGCAAGATAAAAGAACTAGTGCTTTTTAGCGTCTTCTACCGACCAAAATCACTTCTCTGTGCTACAACTTCAATTGGGCAAAAATAAATTTTTCAAATCTATTTTGTAGCTAAAACTTTTCTCTTTCTAACTTTCTAACTTAATCACAGTGTTGGTTTCAAGATATCCATCAAATCTTACCAAACCTGCCTAGATACACTAACGAAACCATTTTATGTCTCGACAGATTGAATTTAAACTCCTGAAGCCGATGTAAAATTGAACTCAGACTTTCTTTTTACATGTGATAGATAAAAGGGCCAGAAATCTTTTGGTAAAAATTTTTTAAAGGAACTTTTAGATCAAATAAAGAGGTTAAAATACGAGGAAAAGATACTTGCTGTTCTACTAAATGTTCAGACAGATTCAATTATATTTATTTAAAGAAAGAAGTAGTTATTGTCACATTTCGAATACTTAGTCTACTCTTCTCGGACTCAGAAACGTTTCCGGATACTTACTAAAGTTCTCATACCCTAAATATTTCCGAGGTCTGTCTTTTAGTTTGCTTATTATTAAGTAATAAGTTTGTATTTAGCATAGAAAGGATGAATATGGAAAAGACTGCTCTTCTGCTTCCCAACAAATATTTCGGTATTTTGTGTTGCAACCGAGTCATAGGCAACTCCTGATGATATTCTGACAGTTAATTTAGCTATAGCTCTCACTTGATTTTTCAATCGACGACCAAAATTATATTATGACGATGTCCAAAATATCTTATTTATCATCCCCATAGAAGGGAGGAGGGTACAGGGTCGGTCGAAAAATTGATTAAGAGCTATTGCAAAACAATCTCATGGAAAATCATCAGGAATTGCCTCTGATTTGATTTCTGCACAGGTAACTTAGTATATTATGGAGCAGAAAAACGGTCTTTTTCGCATTTTTTTCTTGAAACTATTCATTAAATACTATTCAGAGCTTCATAAAAGTAATGACGCTGATACTATAAAATCTTACAGAAGGCTCAAGGAAATTTTCTTTCTACATACACTCATAGCCAAAATCGTGCTCTATAATTCTACAATATTTCATAATTCTTCAAATGACATTATAATACTGAGAGCATAGCGAGAATAGTTGCGACTACACAAAAAAATGTGTAAGCAAGTTTATCAAGTTTTATTTCATCGAATGTTCGAAGTAGTCACCCTGGTTGATTGCATATAATTGAATTAGTGGAACCCGTTTATCAAAAGTCTTTTTATATTTTTCTTTTTCCAACGTGCTCACAAACTTATTCACAGCTTCATGCACCTATTTGGAGTCATCTTGGTCGCTAAGCTTTTGTATGATTAAGTCAAATAACCAAAAGTCACATGGAGCTCAATCTGGAGAATTAGGTGAATATGCTGTTACCGTTAAACCCTCCGATTCAGGGTAATGCAACAAATCTTTATGAATTTGCGGTTGCCCATTATCGTGGTGAAGTTTATTTGTATGGGTGCCAAACGAGGATTCTTGCTTCTTGATTTCGTGAACAATTGACTGCAAACAATGGATGATGTAATATTGGTGATCGATAGTTTATCCACGTTCAACAGAATGAATTAAAACGGCACCAATTGACTTTAAAAAAATTCACAATAAGGTTCTTGAAGAACCATGACTACGTCGAACCAATGTCGGCAGAGGATCTTCACTTGACACTCAGCTAGTATTTGATGATTTTCGATCAATTTGTTTATCATAGAACCATGATTTATCACTGGTCATCATACAACAAAATCTCCAAGTTCCTTGTTCAAATTTTCCTAAATTTCCTTGGCATATTCGCACTCATTCAGTTTGTTGAGAATTGATCAAATAATTGGGAACATAGCGGGCAGTAATTTTCTTCAGTTTCAGATGATCGGAAACAATTCATTGGACATTACGATCAGTCAGACCACTTTGCACTTGCAATTCGCCAATTGTAATATAAAGATTATCATCAATAAGTTTGCGAACTTCTTCAATATTATCAGATGCTGTTTTAGCTACAGGTCTGCCAGGTCGTAATTCGTCTTCAACTTCTTCCCGACCTTCACGAAACCATTTTGACCATCTTTGAACAGTTCCAAGAAGTGAAGCGTGATCATCGAAGACAGAGTATAATTCATTATAAATATATATTGGTTCAGTATGAAATGTAGTGCACACTGTAATATAGAAGCGAAAATGTTTCTTGTCCATCGAAGACAGGTTAATAGATTTGATCGTGCTTTGATCTGTGTTAAAAACATTAGACTATATTGTCTTGGTCGTATATTTTTTTTCTGTTCTTCTCTTCTCTTTCTTGCCTCCTCTCATGTCTAGCCATCCTTATATATCTAAATCACGCGTGTTTTATTTGCTTTTTTGCGCGTGTATAGTTAATTATCATCTGTTCTCAAGACAAAAATTTATAAAAATTGACAGCAAACTTTAATGCATCAAAACATTGTTATTATGATATCATCTGAAGAATGATGACATATTGTAGAATTATAGAGCACGATTTGGGCTATCAGTATATATAGAAAGAAAATTCCCTTCAGCCTTCTATAAGAGTTCATAGAATCAGCGTCTTTACTCTTTCGGTATGCCCTAAGTATTATATATGATGACACTTTGATAAGAAACATCTTTATTAGAAGAGCATTAGTGGTTACAATAAAGAATCTAGAAAGGCATACGACTCACCAGGTATATGATAATCTGAATGAGCACTGTGAACTGCATACTGTCATGTATTTTTCGAGAAAACATTGCGTCACTACTTGGTAGGCTTGCATCGTTATCAGCTCTCCACCGTTCATTGGGATGTGATTTGGGAATGGTTTTGAACTAAAGTACGAAACACTATATACATTGATGAGAGATACATAGTGAATGTATCTGCCTGATAATAATTCTGTTCAAATATACCACTCACTTCGAAACGCAGTATGTAACTCAATCACATTCACAAATACTCATCGACAAGTAAACTGTTATAAACAGGGTTTCATTGAAATATATCTCTCAATTGGAAGCGAAGTATGTCACTCGACAATATCAAAAAGGTCTATTGACAAGTGAATCGTTATAAGTAGCGTTTTATACGAGTACATCACTCACTTCGAGATGAAGTATGTCAGTGGAGTAACATTTGACAATTGACACGTTAAATTATTACTTCTAACAAAGAATTTGTACAAATACGACTTTTATTCTACAGAAAGTTCGTACAAAATTAGGTGATCGAAGTTGGGACAGTAAACGAATAATTCTTAGTAGGATTGAATTCAAGTACATCGCTGACTTCGAAGCAAAGTGTGCCATTCAATCACACCAGCAAGGACATCGTGACAAATGAATTGTTATAAACAGAGCTTCATTCAAATATATCGCTCAATTCAAAGGAAAGTATGCCACTCAATAACATGAGCAAATATCGCTTGGCAAATGAATACTTATAAATAGGGTTTCGTGCAAATATATCGTTCAATTCGAAGCGATATATGTCACTTGATCACATCAGGAAAGACCCCTGGATAAATGAAGTGTTATAATCAGGATTTGATCAAATATGTCGCTCAATTCGAGGCAATGTGTGTCCCTCCATTACATCACCAAGGACCTTTTGGTAAATGAATCGTTCTAAGCAGCGTATCATTCAAGTATATCGCTCAATTCGAAGTGATGGGTGTGATTGGATCACACCAGAGAAGATTTTTTTATAAATGAATCGCTATAATTAGGATTGTGTTCAAGTAAGTCATTCAATTAGAAGCGATGTGTATCACTCAATTGTATCAGCAAAGATCTCTCGATAAATAAATTGCTATGATTATGCTTGCATTCAAGTATATCGCTCAATGCGAAGCATTGTGTGTTACACGATGTCATTAGCAAAGATCCTTTCATAAATAAATTGTTATAACCAGGGTTTCATTCAAATCTACCGCTCAACTCCGAGTGAATTGTGTCACTGTCATATGAACAGAGATTTCTTGATAAATGAATAGCTATAATTAGAGTTGTATTCAAATATATCGCTCAGTTCAAGACAATATGTGTCTCGCAATTGCATCACTAATGATTATTTCATAAATGAATCGCTATTATTATGATTGTATTCAAATATATCGCTCCATTCGGGGCGATATGTGTAATTTGATCACATCAGCAAAGATCTTTTGATAAATGAATCTCTATCAGTAGAATTGTATTCAAGTATATCGCTCAATTCGAAGCGATATATGTCGCTCAAGTACATCAGTAAAGATCTCTTGATAAATGAATCGTAATAAGGAGAATTTCATTCAAGTATTTTGCTCAACTTGAAGCGATGTGTGCCACTCAATCGCATCAGGGAAGATATGTGGAAAAATGAATCGTATTAAAGTGAAAGATTGCGTTCGAATATCTAGGTTGATTTAAATAATGGATTTACATGAAAAACATGTTCGCAAAAAAGGTGCCAAGTAAATAGTTATTACAATCGGTAGGTTCAACTGTTACTTAGACGACAGGAATATGATATGACAGAAAAGGTACTGAGTGAATACGTATGACATGAATGGAATGAAAGAATAGTTCGCTCATGTATCTAGTGACACACCCTAAAATGTGACTTAAATATATTTTGAGGGATTATCTGAAAATATTTGGATATTTTCAATCAAGCATCAATTTAACTACATCAATGACTAAAGCGAGAAAAGCGCAGCTGCTGTTTCAAGTAAGGATGACATAATGCATGCATAGTCAGGACAAAGATTCTATTCGAATATTCGAAATAGTTTCAATCAGTTGCTAGATATAAATCGATAGACGGAAGTAAGCATTGCACATGAAAGTGTTTTAACAGAAGTTGTTGTCGTTGTTCTAATAGTAGTAGTTGTTGTTGTTGTCGTTTTAGTAGTAGTTGTTGTTGTTGTCGTTTTAGTAGTAGTTGTTGTTGTTGTTGTTGTTGTTGTTTTAGTAGTAGTAGTAGTAGTTGTTGTTGTTGTCGTTTTAGTAGTAGTAGTTGTTGTTGTTGTTGTTGTT